AAATAATATTAATTATTTAATATTTAAGGAAAATTGTATTTTTTGTTTTTAAATATTTTGTTAATTAAACTATTTAATTGTTAAACAGAGACCTGTGAATGGTTTTCCAGTTATGGTGTATATACACGGCGGACAGTTTCAATTCAGTGGCAAAGATTTTTACCCGCCTCACTATTTGCTCGATAATGACATCATTTTAGTTACAATAAACTATCGCTTAGGAGTTTTGGGTCCGTTATTTCAATTTTCATGAATATTGTCTAAATTTTCAACTATTTAAAACTATCCTGATTATATATTTAGGATTTTTAAGTACTGGCGACGACTCCAGTGCCGGAAATTTTGGAATTCACGACCAAATCGAAGCACTCAAATGGGTTTCAATTAATATTCAAGGGTTTGGAGGGAATGCACAGAATATTACAATCTTTGGTCACGATTCCGGTGCTATTTCTGCCTCTATATTACTGGTGTCACCAAAATCTTGGGGCCTTTTTCACAATACAATGATAATGAGTGGATCCATATTCACACCAAATGCTGTAAAGTTACCCGATGTTAAAATGGCTCTAGATTTTGGAGAAGTCGTAAATTGTAACTTAAAATATTCACTAATTGATCAAAACGTCCAGAATTTGTCTCAAAAACTAGTAAATTGTTTGCGAACCAAATCAGTGGATGAGTTAATGGTTGCCAACCGACTGCCGGGACTCTATCCAAATGACTTCCAGTTTAATTTCGGTCCAGTGATCGACAGCAATGTCTCGATGCCTTTAATTGGTGATCAACCCATCAATATATTCAGAGCCGGCAACTACTGGAAGACACCACTAGTGGGTGGGCTCACAATGGCTGAGGGATCACTTGATTACTACACTCATTACGATAGGATTAAGGATTGGTCAGCGATTGAGAAAATAGACTATTTGTTCAATCGATTCAATTATAAACCGTTTTTCTTAAAATTATTGACAAAATCTGTCGATTGGTTTTACTTCAAGAGGTTTAACGAAACGAATTCTAGATTATATGAAAATAGGAATCCCTTCAATCAAAATAATAATTTATTAAAACCAAACAAAATTCAATATAACCAATTTAATCCTATCAATCAAAATATGAATTTGTTTGAACAGGAAAGGGATGACATTTCATTAATTGATGTAAGATTTCACTGATAAATAATATAAAAGTTTCAATATTCTTATGTTTTCTCAGGCATTGGGAGACTTTATGTATAGTTCAGCCGTCACTTTACTACTGGATTTGCATTCAAAGGTCTCGAAGCAAACTTATCTCTATGTTCTCGATCACCAGGGAATCAAAACTTTTGGCACAATTCAAAGAAATTCATCGCAAATCATACATCGAAACCAATACGGAGTGACACATATGGATGATATCTTCTATCTGTTCCCAACCCTATACGGAGAGAACACCACCTCTTCTTATGACGACACTGTCATCAGAAATATGTGTCAATTCTTCGCACACTTTGCAAAATACGGACGTTTTGGGCAAAACAACGCTCTTATTAATTACCAAATGTTTGGCAACTATTGGGTCCCATATTCGCCACAAAATCCTAATTATCTGAAGTTTGTGTCACAAAACCCACAAATAACCCGAGGATTTAGAGTCGATTTCTTGAATTTCTGGAATTATTTTATTCGAGAAATATTTGATGAGAATTACGCTATCTCAGTTTTACTCTGGGTTAACAGCCGTGTTAAGTAACCTTGGCAAGTTGAGTCTCCTTACTAATTTAAGCCACTGTTGTTCAAACAACAGAGAATTGATAAGTATAATTGTAAATTAATTTTAAAGTATAAAGCTTTATTTTATCTTTTATTACCAATAATTCTGTTTACTATGTTTACTACTCAAATAATTTCATATGGCTATTTGTGTGGATCATGGATTTGGACATGAACCTTTTCTATTCAATTAAACTGTAATAATCTTATAATTGAGTTTTACTTATGCTATGCACCCGGCTATAATACCCATTTTTAAACCTCGAGTTTATAATTAAATCAAAACCATTGTTACGATTTAGACAACGGTTTTTGGTAATGAATTCAAATTAAGAATTTCATTACAATTCAATCAACTTTTGTGTAATTCTTGTTTAGCTTTGAATAGATCTAAAGACTTGTTACCAATAAAAATGTTCATGAAATCGGTCATAATTTTAATGACATTAATATTTGGAAACGCATTGAGCAGTGAATGTGATTTACTAAACACTAAAGGCGTTTATAAAGGCATTCATCTCTATAGGTATTCCCAAAGCAATACTCTTATGATGTATAGCAATGACAAGGAATGGCAGTTCCTGTTAGACATCAATGAAACTAATTCTGCGATTCATATGAATGAGAGGACAGTCAGGAATTTGTCACCAAATGTCAAAATACTATTCAGTCTTTGGAACAACACTTTTAAGTCAAACTCTTCGGTCAACTGTAGTGTCGATAACGATGTAAATGTTTATGAGTTTTTTGGCTATTAAAAATTTGATATTTAAGTTTGGTTTAATTATGACTATTAATATACTTATCGGATGTTTACGCTCCTGTCCCTACTCTTAACAGACATTAGTGTCATTTCTAAACCCAAGCCCACGATAGCATCACACCAAGTCTTATATCAATCCCAACACCACTATTGTATTCAAACCAACTTTTGATAACAAATACGATTTTTATGTTCTCTGGGATAAAGTCCACAAAAACATCAGTTTTTATAATCCATTGAAAAGAGAGCTTTTGACTAAATGTAAGGACGGGTGTATTAAACCAAAGTTTGTCAACCAATTAAAAGACTTTGTCGACGGTTCAGTCGATGGCATTACTGAGTATAGAGTGGGCAAACATAGCGGTCACCTATTGGTCTTAAATATGAGTGGAATTCCTAAATACTGTTTAATTAAATCTGGAGATAGTTTTACTTCCAATGTATGTAATATTTGAGTAAATCATGTACTTTGTGATTTATTTATTTGATTATAATTACAGTGTAATCCAAGTAAAGTCAACCCCATCGCCAGAAACTGCTATAACACTGAAGTAGGATACGCACGACTCATGAGAACACCCAATAAAAAGCAAAACAATACCAAAACAATGACTAAAAAGTTCTTCAATTCTGATTCAAACTCCTCTAACAAACCCGGGATATCAGGAGGACAGAGAAATGCATCATATTTTGGAAGTGATTTCCAAATGAATAAGAAGTGGCAAAAATCCAAAGACATGTCTATGCAGTCGAAAGAAAGCGATAGAATATATAAAGTTGTTTTTGTTATAGTTATTGCCATTTTAATCATATTAGGTCTGTTTGTCTGTGTGACGGCTTTGGGTTTCAGTTTATTTTATCTCATAATTCGTAAAAAACAGAAACAGAAAAAGAAACGAAAGAATCCAAAGGTTGTAAAGAAGTCGAAAACACCAAAAGTGAGACAATTATATGAAACAAATGTGTTAATCATTTACTAATAATATACTAATCAACTCTTTAGCTCTCAAACATAGGAGTAATTGATTCGGAGTTTGATTATAGTTTAAAATTAAAAATTAGATACAGTGAGCGCCGAAAAACTACAGCCGATGAAGAGGCGTCTCTCATCTACAAAGAGGTGTAATGAACACAAATATCATATGAAGGCCTCAAAATAGCACTTCAACATTATACCGGTATTATAATATTATATAAATGTTAAAATATATCCAAAACTAACTTTATGTGTATCTTCGTTTCTTATTTAATTAATTAAAAAATTTTCAAATAAACAATATTTTCAATAAACATTATAAGAGAGTAAATGTAATAAAATGGAAACTTATGTCAAATAATTGATTTATTGAGTTAATTAAAAAAGATATTCTCAACGATTTAATCACTGCCTTCGCTATCGATTTCATCGCTTTCGTCGGTTTTAAGTCTTTTAGGGTTTTTGGAAACATCTTTTTTATTATTTCTATTCCTATTATTAAAATATTTCCTTTTCCTGAGTGTCCAATAAAACAGGCATTAAATATTAATTTATACAAAATTGGCTAAAAATAACTAACCTTTTGTTGAGTTGGAGCATAAACTGCGGGACATCACAACCAGACCGTCGCATCACATTAGCAATGGATCGCAGTTTATCGCTATCTTTTTCAGTGAAAAAAGTAATCGCTTTCCCCTTACGACCCGCTCTTCCGGTGCGCCCTTTAATTGAGTGACATTTTTATCAATCAATTCATAAACACTTAAATCATAACAAATACCAATTCGATGGATATAAGTGATGGCAGAGGAGGGGAAGTCATAATTGATGACCAAATTAACGCCTTTAAAGTCAATCCCGCGGCCCATAAGTTCAGTGCAGATAAGAAACCAAATGTTTCCCTCACGGAAACTGCGGACCACATTATCCCTGTCCTGTTGGGTGCGTTTGGCGTGAATTATATCTATATTAATGCCTTCGTAAACCAATTCCTTAAACAATTGTTTCGCTTTTTGAATCTTCTCCACAAATATTAGCACCGGTGCTTCGCATCCCTGTGCGATCACATCACGCAATGCCATCAGTTTTCCCTAATATTTATCGCGCAAAATCAGAGTTAATATAAATTGGGTTTAAAAATATCAACATTTAAGTACAGATTCATTGCCAACGAAAGTGAGTTTCTGGTCGACCTCTTGCGAGGCATTGTTTTTGCCGCCAATCACTACAGACACCAAATTGTCCAGGTTCAGTTTGGCCCACTTCTCCAGCTGTATGTCGTGAGTGGCGCTAAACATTGCGTGATTTACTTTCGCAGATTTGCCACAACTTTGGAATATGACAGACAACTGATCCCGAAAGCCATCTTCAAACAGTTTATCGCACTCATCGATCACAAGCCATTCAACACTTTTAATTGCAATTCAAATACAATTAGATTTTTGATACAAACATTCAAAACATATAATTACTTCTCAATGTTGATGGCAACAGGCTTTTGATTGAGTAGCCAAACGAGTCGATTGGGTGTTGTCACCAGAATGTCATACATGAGCGCAGAGTTGGGGCCAAACTTCTTTTGGGCTAAATTCACGTTTTTGATGATATGAACCCTAAGTCCGGTCCCGTTTGACATCCAAAGACACTCCCTATGGATCTGTTTGGCTAACTCACGAGTCGGCGCTAATATAACAGCTCTAAAGCCCACTCTTTGCGGTTGTCTTAACTGATGGACAATAGGTATGAGAAATGACAACGTCTTCCCGGAACCGGTCGGAGCGCAACACAAGACCTCACGTTTGGCTAACATTAGAGGAATGGATTGCATCTGAATTGGTGTGGGGGTCGAGAAACCAGACTTTTCGATGTTGTCCAGTATATTGCGGTCCACATCGAGACCGTCGAAGGAGACAATGGGTTCGTTGACATCACTTCCGTTCACATGAATCCTGTATTTATTCCTCAAATGATTGATCCTTTCGTTATTCAATTCAATCATTTGTTTACGACTTTTCACTGAAGTTTTCTTCGCTCTCTTCGGCTGGTCTTCGAGTGTCACCTCTTCTGCAGCCATCGGCACATCACTCGTGTCCGCACTAGTCTTGTGTCCATTTTGGCTGTTTGTCTGCAATTTACACACAATTTGTAATCAAATGGCAATCAATTGAACGAAAACTTACCGAAAATCTGTTGACATCTTTGGCGAACTTCTTGTAATCAAATCTGGATCCAGAGATCAATTTCCTGAACACATTGTCTGAGTTCATGGTAAACGTCGTATCAATTGATTTGATTATAAAGTGTTTTTAATTAAATTAAATTAAAGGGCAAAACATTTTGAAAATCATGTGTTTGTTTGTATTGAATGGCAAACAATGCTTTCAATGCTGTCATCCAATCGTATGATAGCATTGAATACACGTTTCACTCATACAGTCCTACAGTAGTGCTGTCTGTCTATACTTTTTGTACAAATTCTCATTCAATATACTGTATTCCGTAAGTATTGAAGTATTGCCAGAATATTATTGCATAACTTATTATTAAAAACTTTGAACACAATTAAAGTGGCAGTCAAATGAGGGCTAATAATTGTAGTTTATTACCACTTGTTATTGCAAAATGCTAGACTACCCCATACCATGACACTGATTAACCACTGTGCTATAATTGACAAATAAATTGTATGTATACTTAACAAATGCCCTAACCACATTGTTAAACTTTAACAGTTAAACACATTTTCTATATTTAAGTTTTAAATCGATAATATTATTGCATAATAAGTAAAATATAGTTATGTTTAATGGCTGTAAATATATGTTTTGATGTAAAAGACAATTTAGTGCACCGGAGGGGTGTTTAAAGGGCAGACCTTAAGTATATAAAGAAATTAAATTAATGTAACTTATATGCTATTAAACAATAAGTGTATTATAAGGCAGTTTATATTTTTGTATTTAAACTAAACAGGTATTAATTAGGAGAAGCCTGACCTCCACTATTACCTCAACAATAATCCGGATATAAGTTAATGGAGGTCTTGGAAAAGGTCATTAAAAGTCTGGTGACATTCATATCATATAACTGCATAACATTTTACTATCAATAATAT